ATGTCACTGCTGCCATTCAGTCCTTATTTAGACTATTAATATGCCCAGTGAAGCTAACTCTACTATCCTAGCTTTAATTTCTTATACCAAATGCTTATCAAATGAAATTGTTTAGGCCCATCTTGTGCTAAAATGTGTTTATAAGTGTGCGACAAAGATTCTTTCAAATAGACTGCCCAAAGTACTTCGGGGTCATAGGGAAAAGTTAATTAGCCTTTGTCAAAGGTAGGGTCATGAGTGATAACATACTCATGGCTTTAGAGTTGGTGAATGGATATGGAAGGGAAAACATCTCATCTAGATGCACTCTTAAAATAGACTTGATGAAGGCATTCGACTAACTAGATTGTACCTTTCTTCTTACTGTTCTGAAAGTTATGGGAATGTTAGTTTAAGTTTCTTGAGTGGATTGAAGCATGTATTACTACACCTATGCTCAGTGTTGCTGTGAATATGGAGGATTGCGTGGGTATTTTCCTGGAAAAAAAGGGTTGAGGCAAGGAGACTTTGTCTCCTTTCTTATTCACTATAGCTATGGAGATATTATCTTGTATTTTCATAAAGGCAGCTGAAAAGGGTTCTTTCTCTTACTATCCGAGGTGTAGGCATCTAGGAATAACCCATATTGTATTTGCTTATGAGCTACTGGTGTTTACTGATGGAACAGAGCAAGCTCTACAGGAAGTATGTAGGCTATTACATAGTTTCTATCTCTTGTTTGGACTTCTATCTAACTATGAGAGAAATCAGATTTTCTATGCTAGTATGAGTGATGAAAAGCATGAGGAACTAGCTGCCATAACTGGATTTCAGAAATCTAAATTGCTTGTGCTACTTAAGAGTACCATTAATAGCTGGAAAGTTTACTAATGTTGATTGTCAAGTCCTCTTTTAAGGATAACTACAAGAGGAAGGTGTGTCACCCGACGCACCTTGGACTCGAAATTTTTGTGAGGAATCCACATTTTTTTGGTACAAAAGTTCGAACATGTGACATCTGACACACCTTCGATAATTGTAATCGACACACCTTGTTACATTAAAATATTTTTGGTGACATAATATTATTAAAATATGTAAATATAAGAGTTATCGGACTTTAATTTGGACTAGGTAGTTAATTAGTTTATTATAAAAAAGTAAACAATTAATTGACTACTTAGTACGTAGTGAGTATTCAGAGAGATAGCTATCACCTTAGAGATAATCTCGATAAATTAAATGAAAATTGAATTGATTAATAAGATGGTTGAGTCAAGTAATTAGATAGTGAATTCCGTGTCGTTTTTCCTCGTAGCTTCTTCCATATTTTCTTCATAAAATTAATTTCCAACTTGCTTTCTAGTTTAGTTATTGCTTTTCACGTTGTCACTTGTCACCACCCTCCAACTGTCGGTGTCGTGTCAGTGAAATCCACATTCTCATTCAAACTTCCACGTTGACGCCTATGACCACTCTTTCAGTTTCCCATCCTAGTTTTCCCATCTTAAATGAGTGCTGACTTTACCTCTTGCAATTGCAAACTGCAAAATGACATTTTCATATATGAGCTTAATCTAGAATGATATTTGGTATCAGTTGAATGATGAATTTATGAATAATTGTTTAGTTGTTTACATAAAAAAGATTTGATTTGCAACCTAATGGACAAATGTAATTAAGAAATCTTCAGAATATGAAAATTCGTCATGACTAACTCTAAACACAATGAAATTGGTGAAATTTATGCATAAAATATTTTTTTTATATTTATGTTTATTTAAATTTTATTTTAAAATTATTTTCATGGGCCAACACACCTATCTCAAAATTCTGGGTTCGACACTGTTGGTGGGTTGTCTGTATTTACAAATATATGATAAAACATTATTCCTTCTTGGAACTCTCCATCAGCAACTATTGTTCTTAGATTTGGAAGAAAGTTTTAAAAACCAGGGACAAAGTGGAACAATATATCACTTGCTGGAACACAGAAGTATTACGGAATGGTAAGATCTTGCTGAAATATTAAGTGAGATTGGTGAGGAATGACCTGAGGGTTGCATTTCCTAAGGTAGCTTTGTATGCATTAACATAAGAGAAATATTGTGTGCCCTTACATAGTGTTATATGCTGGGTTGTGATAAAAGACATGATTTTCATCAGAGATAAGTTGAAGGAATGTGGCAAAATCATTGATGACAACAATGCGCTTTGTGGAGTTGGCCTGGAATTACGAGATCACATGTTTTTTTGATTGCCTATACTCTAAGGTTGTGTTGGAGAGTTGCGTACTAATCATACAAATGCAATGTACGGGATTCACTCAGTTTGATCAGTACCTGCAGTGGGCTGTCCAAAAGTTTGGAGGGAAGAAGTCAATGGCAAAGATTGGGAGACTGTTATGGGATTTAATGGTAAACATGATAAGGAGGGCACGATGCAACAGATGTCGTGAAGTGCATTTACTGTTAGTTCACAAAATTAAGAGTACATTTGAGCACGTATGTCAAGGAAATAGCATATTGCATACTCAATGTCTCTTGCATGGTATTGGCTATATAGGGATAGAATCTGCAAATAAAGGCTGTTGTGAAAGTACTTGTGTAGATATCACTCTTTCATGAGGTTTGTATAGTTGTAATTACTTCTCCTTGCATTCTCAATTGAGAATACCACATGTGTTTCAATAAAATTTTGATTAATCATAAAAGAAAGTCCAGTGGATGGGGAAGTTGGGGCTAGTGTGTAAAATAAAATCTAAAGTGAATTCAATTTAGTACTTGAACCTTTCTTGTACCTTTCTAGTGGTGGAATTAATCTTGTTCCAATACTAATAAGTTAATGACCAATGTGTCGATCATTTCATTTCCCTAGTCGGTCTTTTTTTTGTTGTTGTGATGGTGTAGTTGTGTTATCCAATCAAATTTTCCGGGATCAATCAACCACTTTTTTTTATTTGTAATGGTACAGTTGTGCCATCGAGTCAATTGTATTTTGGTAGCCGCCCACTATTTTGTCCAAATCACATAACAAAGTTCTAATAGATTTTTTCTATACGAGGTATTTTATCATCATTTATGCCTTAGTTATTGAACAATCCGATTAACCATTAGAATTCTTGGAAAATCTCCGTGATATATGAAACGAGGGTTAATTGCACCGGATGCCACTTAACTCTTACAATTGTTGCACGTTAACCACTTAACGTAATTTCGTTGCAACTAAAGCATGTAATTCGTATTATGGGTGCACCATCACCACTTCTGTCATTAGACGTAACGACAGATACCGAAATGGTTATTTGCCATGCCACGCAGGCGGTACATGTCAGCAAATCTATTGAGTCATGTGCGGGCCTCATCAAACCCTAGGCCCACCTACATTGAACGGAATATTTTAGCAAGTGATGAGTGACTCCTCGTATTCCTGCTCTTTCTTCTCTGCAAAATTTTCGACACTAAAGAGGAAAATCATTCCTCTCTAGAGAAACCGAATTAGCAAAGCCGAACATGAGGAATAAAGGGAGGCGGTTCAACAAGAAGATTGTGAGAAGAAAGTAGAACAATATCGTCACAGCTTCCTTTGCTTAAGGTAATTGAATCCGGCCCCTGCAACTTCAGTTTTTTCATTCTTCATCTCATTCTATAATTCTGTTTGCTTTTCGTGATGTTGCTAGGGATTTGAAACAAGCGACTGACGAAGATAGGTTGTTGATGGATTGAAGTATGTGAGTCAATTATGGATTCTTTAGAAGATGAAGTGATGCTCTGTTCTTCAAAAAAATTATGTGTTTATTACTGTTGGGTTCCATAGCAAGCTTGTCCAAGGATTTAAATTCCAAAGAATTGTTATATCAGGCTGTTAATATCACTTTTGTTCGAATTACAAACATGAGCCCAACCATCAGGGAAGTAGGAGACAGTGATCGGATTTCAACATATGGCGAGTTACCTTCAATCAAACTGCTGCAATTTTCATCATCTGCTATAATTTGCTGCAAGTTTAAGCATATTAGTAGTTCAACACCTGCTGCAATTTTCAACATATTGGTAGTTAAACACCTACTGCAATTCCATTTGTAGTGTTTATTTTTATCTTAGGACTAAATACAAGCAAGACTCATGCTAGTCAAATGCTCAATTGATCATTGAGTCGATCATTTATAGTAATTTCCATTCTAATTAACAGTAAAATAAAAGAGCAGAAGTGAAACTGGGAGAGGAATTCCCGAAAGAACTCATCGAGAAGAGAAACAGGGGGGCCATAGCTCGACAAGAAAGTTGTCGCGGCGGGCGGATGCAACAATGGTGGTGGAGGTGAGTGATAGCTTATAAGCGAAAGCAATGAAGTCGTTGTTGGGAACCGAGGAAGCATTCGATTGGTGCTTCCAAGTTGGACTCTTCTTTCTCTGCCTCTCTCGAAGTCTGGACGTTACCGATTATTGTCGTGACAACGGCGGTGGAGTGGTAAAGATCGGCGATTGCTCGTTTCGTTTCCAGGATGGTCTTTTTGGCCCCTCTTTTGCTGTGGAATGACTCAGCAGATTTGCTGAAATGTACGCCTGTGTGGCATGACAAATTATTACTTCGGTACCTGTCATTATATCTAATGACTGAAGTAGTGACGGTGCACCCATAATACAACTCACATGCTTTAGTTGTAACGAAATTATTTAAGTGCAACAAAATTACATTAAATGGTTAACATGCAATTAACCCTATGAAACGATGAATTCCGTTGGAAAAGAACACGGGCTTCTACTGAAAATGGCAAAATGCCTTAACCACGACAAGATTACACAGTTACAACTCTGATCAATTCTTTCATTTACCCAGGCACACACTTTGACCAAGTTGATGATTGAATCATCCATCAACCTAGAGAACTTTTAAGATACATGACAATCATTAGAAATTCTTGCTCTTAATTAGGCATCTGTTTGAAGGTCAAAACTCAAAAGCTCTAATGGTGGAGGTGAAAGCGATCAGACTCCACTTCAGTGCCCCTGATACTTTCCATTAGGATTGCTCAAAGAAACACCGATAATTGGGATCAGAACCCAGCAGCTCGCTAGCCTTACAGCTCCCTGCGGCGCACAATCCACACTCTTCCAGTTCCATCCGAACCATCCCGACCCACTCGCTCCGTCGCCACCTCCTCTCCGGCGCCGACCCAATTCCAACCAACTTCTTCCCCATCTCCGCCCTCGCCCTCTCCGGCAGCCCAACCGCGATCCTCGCCTCTCTAAACGGAATCCGGCACTTCTCCCTCGCGAAATCGGCGCACTTCTCCTTCGCCGCCGCCAGGCACTCTTGCATCTCCCGCTGCTCGCACTCCTCCCTCTCCTTCAGGTCCGCAGCGCTGGGTCCGCCGCCGACCAGATTGCGCCACCAAGGGGGCTTGCAATTGTTCGACGCCGTCAAGGCGCAACCGACCCGAGCCCCGCCCTCGCACTGCTCGACGATCTTTGACTCGGTGGCGGCGTAGGCGGCGGCCCAGGATTGGGGGTTTCTGAAGGCGAGAACGTACGGGCCGAGCGATGGGTCGTCGGGTCGACCGGCGGATACGGGACCCCTAAGGAGGGGGATTGGGCGGTCGAAGAGGACGATTGTGGAGGTTGCGGAGTAGTCATCGAGGTTCGACGGGATGGAGGAGTCCACGGTCATGGTTCCGGAGATTAGTTGTTTTTAGGGTTCTTTTTGGGGATTGAAATTTTAATTGTCCGGTATGTAGTGCTGTCATTCTAGAAATCCGGGAGACTCCATCAATATTGCGATGAACGACTAATTGCCTGTTTATTCAAAAAAAAAAAAAAAGACTAATTGCCTGTTAGTCACTGAAGTTTGCTTCTTCTCTTTTGGGGTCATTTTACTTCTCCGGAATCAATTAACTCCGGTCCGTACTTGAATATAAGTGAGAGTAATTTAGTGTTTGGTGAATAGAAGAAAATAGAGTAAATATTAGTTTTCGACCAAATCTTTCTAGTATTCTAAAATATTAACTAAATTTTTTGAATTATAAAATCTTAGCCAGATCTTTAATAGCATTACAAAGGTTTAGCCATATTATGTTACCATTAAAAGCATTGCTAACGGTTTTCCACCTAAGCTCCATGTTGGTGTCCACATCAAATTTCATTAAAAATGTACAGTTTGTTATTAAAAATAACAAAAATATGAAAATTAAAGGCAAATGGTCAGGTTGTGTCGAATGGGATTCACTACAACATCACCAGCTCCACTGTTGGTCCTCTGACTCCTCGAGTTCCGCACTTGCCTTCAACGCCAAAGCTTCTAAATCTCTCCTCCATCGCCCATATGGATGCCATATCCCATATCCCAGATAGACGTTGTCGTTCCGCCTTAAGCCCTCTCGATCTCTCTGCCTACAGTCACCAAAGCACAACCCCCATCTAATCTTCTGGCACTCAAATCGCGTGCAACCCCCAAACCCATAATTGAAACCCTTCAAGTTTCGATCAAGCTACCCCTAAATCGAGCAATCAGTACTAATTAAAACCCAAAAAATCCACTCCCAAATCCAGTAATCGGCTACCCCAAATCCTAGAAACCCTCCCTCAAATCGAAAAAAAGAACTCGATACACCTCTTCCGGCAACGACCTTAAGGCCGATAGACATTAAAGAAATGGAGCTCATGAAGGTGAGAGAAGACGATGTGAAGGTGAGTGATAGTCTAACGGGTTATTTGAAGATCCAATTGAGTGTCTTGATGGATCTTGCCAAAGAAGAGAGAGTCGTTGAGTTGAGAAGAAAAGAACCAACATCCGCCGCTATTTATCCTTGATGACGTCGGACCACGCCCTTGCATTCAGTGGCGTAACCAGGAATTTTCCTAAGGTGGGTCCAACAACTAAAAATAATAATAACATAACTTATATTAATGTTTTACAAAGACCCACGACGTGCTTTCATATTCTGAAAAGTATGTAAAATACATTCATCATCTAAACTATCGAGGATGTCGCTCTCAATGTAGCCAACTAAAAAATCATTCATGATTTCATCACTCATTCGATTCCGAAGCGTGTTCTTCACGAAGTTCATTGCAGAAAATGCTCTTTCAACACTTGCAGTGGCAACAGGTAGAAACAATGCCAACTTCAGAAGTCTATACACCAGTGGGAACACTCGATGTTTTTTTGACACAACCATTTCCCTAGAAAGCTCAGCAATTCCCTTTAATCCTGCAAACCTTTCCACAGTCTTCATATCAAATATATAAGCATCTAGTTGATGAAGATCAAGATGTGAGATATCATCTTTGGAGAACTCATTAGGATAAAAGGTAGCAAGCTTCAACAACTTTTCCTTGTCAAAGTCAGCAAATGAATCATCTGGATTTAAGCATGCCACACAACATAGCAATTCAGTGTTAATCTCATCAAAGCGACTATTCAGCTCTTGTAGTTGCATATCCACAATTGTATAAAATAGCTCAACCTTGTAATGATGCAGATTGGTGATTTCTTCAGATTTTCTCCTTAGTCTTCCAAGAGGAAAGTATAGATCATCCATGTTGACAATGGGAAGAGATTCCTTATTGCAGAATGAAAAAACACTATCAAGAAGAGAATCCCATCCTTTATCCCTCATCTCCTGCAATCTAAACTTTGCTCCACGAACAAGATGCATAGCATTCACTATATCCTGATCTTTCCTTTGCAAAGTTGAAGACAACTCACTGGTAATTGAGAGCACTCCAATCATCATTTTCAAGATGAATACAAAATCAAAGTTTTGGACTAACCTCAACAAGCAAGATGCATCAGCTTTTGCATCAGAATTTCCCTCCCATATAATGATATCCAAACACTCAATAAGAGAAGAATATATTCGAGTCAAGTTAAGAAGTGTGTCAAAATGTGATCCCCAACGAGTATCACAATGCCTTTTGAGGCCAAGTTCCTGATTCAACCCCCGTCCAGTCTCAAGTTCACCACGACATAAAGCCTCAACAACTTTAGCAGCTTGACATTCTCGAATTTTATCCATTCGTTTAGAAGATCCTCCAACCAAATTAATTAGATCACTCACAGCCTTGAAGAAGCCACCCACATCGCCATGATGTCTAGCAACTGCAACAAGTGTTAACTGAAGCTGATGAGCAAAACAATGAACATAATATGCAGATGAATTTTCTGCCAAAATCAAAGTCTTGAGTCCATTAATTTTCCCACTCATATTGCTAGCCCCATCATAACCTTGTCCCCTTATTTTTGACAAACTCAACCCATTTGTCACAAGCATGGATTCAATTTCCATTTTAAGTGTCAAGGCTTTAGTATCTGCAACATGAGCAATCCCAAGAAATCTCTCCATCACATATCCTTCTTCATTCACATAGCGTAAAACGATAGCCATTTGCTCTTTGATTGATGTATCCCGAGCTTCATCCACCAAAATGGAAAAGACATCATCTCCAATGTCACATATGATTCCCTTGGTGATTTCAGATGCAATTGCATGGACAATATCCTTCTGTATGTCTGGAGAAGTCATTTGTAAGTTCTTTGGAGCATTTTTCAACACAACACGTTCCACATCCTGCCTACCACGAGCATGAAATTTCAGAAGTTCAATAAAATTCCCCCTATTCTTGGATGGTTCTGATTCATCATGCCCTCGAAGTGCATGACCTTGCCGTACACAATGTCTGATGCAGTCAATTGAAGCTTGTAAACGAGTTCTATAATCCATCTTTGCTTGATCTGATTGTTTGCATAAAGAAATTCCAATGCTTTGTGCCTGTGTTAACAAGTCTTCATCACACTTTCTAACAGCTTTGTTGTGTTCACTATTAACAAGACCAACATGGTTCTCAAGAGCATCATCTCCCCTATTCCAACCTTTAAAACCAGTAGAAATGAAAGAAGTACCTCCACCCTTCTTGCCATCATCACTCCTAAACAAATAGCAATGCAAGCAGTATGCAGCATCTTTTGCAATACTATATTCCAACCAATGATATTTCTTGTACCAACAAGATTTAAAACTGCGAAGTCTTCCCCCGATATCTTTAGATGGAAAACTATGATCAGGCTGACAAGGACCTTTTTGAAGGTAGTACCTTCTGACCATATCCCGAACATTAGGATGAAAGCATGAAAGTTGTTCTCTTAAACCCGGATCAGCTTTCAAAGTACTCACATCGAATTCACTTTCTTTAGATGGAAAGTTGGACTTAGAATGATTTACCGAGAGATGTTGTGACATTGTCGGTCGTGGTGTTGAATTAGGATCATGTCTAGCCTCTCTTGATTCACTTACATCATGCTCCAGAAAATTTGGAATTGTCTTGGCCTTTTTGGGAAAATATCTCTCCATTATGAAAAGCTACATATCCCATGACAAAAGTAATAAACACAAATTAAAACCAAAATCAAAGAATCAATTAGAACAAATATATCTATTTGAAAGGTTTGCTTCGTAGATGAGTTTCAATAAAGCACTCGAATTAGCAAATTCAATTGGTTTTTGCTTAATTCATTATTGTAATTTGTAATCCAACCTTATTTGCTAGGTTACTGCAAAAAATTTGTCTTATGTGTAGTGTCCTTTTGCGTGTCCCTAAATATCCTTGGTCATTGTCTTTCTCAAATCCAAGCAACCAATTCTTCCCTCTTAAAATAAGAACATATATTCTAGCAAGCTAGCCTTTTAATTAGCTTGCGAATGCAATTGATTAGGCTAATAGGCCAAAGGGGATTTCAATTTTGGTTAAGAACAGTTGAACAAGTAGGGAACGGAGATTACCTTGGAAGGGGAGTTGGTAAGCGACAATTGAACCAAGTAGCGCAGACGTAGGGTAAACTGTCAAGTTTGGACGGCCGGACGGACGACCTAGTGGGTGAGAGTACGCCGCCGGCCTTTGGTTGCTGGTTGGAGAGGTAAGTCAACGAACAAGAGAGAAGTCTTTCGATAGCAGCAATTAGGGATTGAGATCTCAAGATTAAACAATTTGTTGGGAGTCTTTCTATTCTGTAAGTTAATTAAAATATGCTAAAAATAAATAAAATATAAAATTGTCTGCAACGTGCATAGCAAAAACTAAAGGGCTTTGTATAGCTTAGTGGAAGAAAGGAACCCATTACAATTCTGAAAAGGACAAGGCTCAAAGCCCACGTGCAACACAAACATATGTATATACTTTTGCCTTTCTAGACCAAACCCAAGGTAGGTCCGGGGACCTGCCCACTAATGGGCTGGCTCCGCCACTGCTTGCATTGTTCAAACCCCTGCCTCCATTTGCTTGATTTGTCGTCGTTCGAAACTAGTGTCGTCGTCCGAACCAACGAGGAATCCCAAATCAGTGTCACCTGGTCTACTCCTCTTCGCTCGACAAACAATGGAGCAGAAAGGACGATGACAAAATGGAGAAGAAGGCCATTGGAAAGAAGGAACCAAAACGTTAGTTGGCGCCCTATCGTCGCACTATTGCTCCAATCCTTTCGATTTCGTCCAACAAACTTCGATCGGTAATTCTTTCGTGCGCGGGAACGGGGAAAGAGGAGAAAGCAGAGAAGGAGATATAGTGATGGTGCCACGTCAGAATATTCCTTCCACCTCATTGCTACTTCTGCTATCTCACTATCATAAAAAGGAAGTGTTAACGGAGATTTAACAGTTGGCTAGTATTTTGTATTTCGAAAAGTTAGGCTAATATTTTAGAATGTAGAAAAGGTGTGGCTAAAAAATATTATTTTTCCAAGAAAATAATTGGAAGAGACATAATAAGGTGTCGATGGAGAAGTTAATGTGTTGCACTGTTATCAATGAATATAGTCTTGAAATTAACTTTGTGTTCTTTTAGGAGACAAATGGGAGGGGAAGAAAGAAAGGAGAAAAATTATGCTTTCCGAAAATTTTCCGCCATTCTCGAAGCTAGCTACAGGGGCAAGGGATAGAAATTGGTAAGGAAATCCTACAGTTTCACCTTCATCCCCGATTTGGGGGGAAACTGGTTAATGGTGAACGAATTAATAGGAAGTGTAACTTTAATTAATAAATAGGAATAATACCCTATTTTGACTCGGAGTTTGAAGTAATATCACTTTTGGCCTGAACTTTAAATAATACGGTTATGGCCCACTTTTGAAATTAATGGACATATTTGGTCTGTATTTTTATTGAACTATCAAAATTGGCGGTTAACTATTTTTTCTGTTTGTGACTCAACATCCTGGCTGAGATGGCGTCCACGTCACATATTGATTAAAAACAAAAAAAAATTAAAATAAATGAAATAAAGAACATACTGAAAACCATTGCTTATTTCCTAAACCATAAGCTCATTTTGCTTGCGTTAGAGGCTCTTCAAAATCCATCCCCCGAAACAAGGACTCATCTTGACCCTAACTTGAGTTCATTTCTCAAAGCCTTGTATCAAACAAAAAGATCCCAAACTAATTTGGACTCAGATGAGTGTATTTACTACGACCATGACAGAGAAGCTTCATCAGTCGATGAATACGATTTAGCAACGGAGAAAGAAGATCGAGAAATAGATCTCCTCGGACATTCCAGTGAGTAATTCATCTGAGATAGAGGTTAAGGATATGGGGATGACATGCGACACTGCAAGTTTGGTTTGACCATAGTTGCCGCTACTACTAGATCCGAATTTTCCTCCTATTGATTTGTTGTTGTTTACACCAAAATTAAACTTGTACCACATCAATTAAATACAAGGGATTAATAATGTCAACTTAATTATAACAATTAAAATTAATTAAGATGGGTCACATTGATAGAATTTTTGGGCCCATAGCACGCAATGTCATCACCCTTGCGCCACCTTAAGCCATCCATTCCCAAATTTGGGTAAGTGTTGGAGGGGGTAGTCTGCATACCCCCTAGTGTGATGAGATGGGGTAAAATTTCGCCAAATAGGGAGAATGATGGCAAGGTGAAATATGACCAAATTTGGCTAAGTGTTGGAGCACCTCTCGTAGGGTGAATGAGGGGTAATCAACATATACCCTCCAGCGTGATGAGGTGAGGTAAAATTTGGCTAAAGTGTTGGAGCACGCCTCATGATGTGAATGAGGGGGGGGGGGAGGTTAATCAGCATACCCACTAGTGTAGTCCCATGAGGGTAAAATTTGGCTAAGCATGGAGAGTGCGGCGATAAGGCCCTAATGCGACTAATACCCCCATGATGTGATTAGGGGGTAATCAGCATATCCCGTAGTGCGATACTGTGGGGTGACATTTGGCTAAATATAGAGAATGATAGTGTAGTGGAGCACCCCTCCTGATGTGATTAGGGGGCAATCGGCATGCCCCCTAGTGTGATGAGGTATGGTGGAAATTGATTAAGTATGTAGGAGAGGTGGGTCATAACGTGTAACTCAAATACCTTCTTAGTCCTTAGGGAGTTGAGGAGGAGGAGGATTGCCATACCCCTAGGTTGACTAGGGGGTAACTGATAGACCGTTAGTTACACATGTTTTTACCCCTGCTCTTACTCCGTTTGAGGTATTGATTCTCGTGTTTTAGGCCGATTTCACGCTAGGTTGTGCTTGTTTATGATATTTCAGGTCCTAGTACGTGAATGGAGGCTTGGGAGCGAGTTTGAGGTCGATTGGACGAGGATCGGACACATGGCGAGGTTCTGAGGAAGTCGCACGGGCACACCCACAACCCGCACGGCCGTGCACGTGACCAATTTGGCCGTGCGGGATTGTGCGTGGGCACGCACGGGCACAAGCGAAATCCGCACGGCCGTGCAAGGTGCAATCCTGGCCGTGCGAGATGGCTGAGGTTCGACTTAATGGTACGCCGCGTTTTGAGTCGCACGGCCAGAATGGTGATATGCACGGCCGTGCACCCTGGCCGTGCGAGTCGGGAAAGTCTGGTTTTTAAGCGGATTCCGAGCCAAACAGAAGGGGATTCGAGTTTTTGAGAGACAGAGCGGTTCCTAGAGAGAGAAAGCGACGAACAAGAGCCTCCAAGTGCCCTAGATCGATCTTCAACATCATTGGAGCTTGGTTTGAGCTTGGAGAAGTGCCGATTAAACGTCCAGGAGCAGAAATCCATCTTCACAGTATGATTTCCGCGTCTGATTCTGCTTTTGCTTCTTTCTCCATGGAGTAGTTCTCCCATTCATCTGGGTATGGGAAACCCTAGTTCTGTATGTTAGGTTTGATTGTATGAACCCAAGTTTTGATTCTATGATTTGATTATATTCGATTGAGGTTTGAATGATTGAATGACTTGAATCCTGATCAAATTCCTGTTGTTTCTGCTTTAACCTAGAATGATAATATCTGCCTAGGTTGATAGAGTATCCTTAATCGAAGGTAGTGAATTGGTGACTTTAGTCGAGGAGCCAGTTCACTATTCTGTACTGAATTCCATTCGGTAGTGGAGGTTTTGTTCATAGGGCCTCAATCTGTTTACTCCGGTGTAGGTTAGTCGCCAGCTAGAGACTCAGATTGAGAGGGTCTGAAGACCTTTAGTCGAGACTTCAGACTGTTTGAGAACCTTCCGCAGTATAACTATCATAGAAATCGAACTTGGCAATTACAATCTGGCTTAACTGCAGTCTAGGGGGAACCATATCCGGGTGACCTCTCTTAACCTGAATACAAACGTTTAGTTGCTTTGCTTGCTTGTTAGTTTAGAACTTCACTAAAGTTTCATTGCTAGATAATACGAATTCACTGAGTAGTCATCACATCTAGGACCCGGGTTGA